TCTCATAGTCCCTTTTACTCATGAAAACGATGTCGCCTCCTTTGCCCGTCTAAATAACGATTATCGGTGCATTTTTCTCAAGTTTTTCATCAATTCGCGACACTTCGGAAAGCGTCCACGAGAGATTCTCAAGTCGAAGCAAATTTCATTTCTTTGCTACTGAGAATCCAAAGTTCATGTGAAAACATGTTTTTCTTTTCTTTCGAATCGGATATCAATAACGTGTGGTGTTAGAATATATTGATGACATTGTTGAAAAATTGGTTGATATTGCTGTTGATATTCACCTCATCTACACACTTCGACAACAAACAATAATAAAGACCTTTTGCCAGAAAGTCTATTTCATCATCGGTCAGTCTTTGGCGCGACAAATTGCTAATCATCTTTGAACTAAACTTTGCCTTCATATCTTTCCTCACAGAATAAGCTTTTCAATTCTTTTCTAGTCGAATAATCTTTTCGTTTAGAACAGATCCCAAAACGACTAACAACAGTTTACACACATACAAGAACAAACTTGCTCACAATCGGATCTTCTATTGATCGAAGCTGCTCCGTAATTGCTCTTGAGAATGATGCAGACCACATTTTTGGAAATCGAATTCCATGTTTTAAAGCCGTCCTCACCCTGAAAAAGCCAATTTCCATCAAAAACACAGTGAAAATTAACATAAATTCATGAGAAGATAGGCCGAGATCTGCCGTTGTATAAATGAGATCATTTTTTATTTGCTATCTCCTTTATTGCTATAATTTTTAAGTGGTTTCTGTTATCATCTGTTTGAAAAATATACTATTGTCATAAAAAACTGGAAATATTATTCGTTGTTTCTTTTTTGAAAGATTCCTTTTTTTTAAATTGAGCTTTGTCAGTATTTTTATAAGAGTGCTTTTATAACGCGACCACGAATTTTTCGGAGATTTTCGAGATGTTGAACTTTTCGTTCGTGCACTCCTTTTAAAATGTACGACTTTAAATAGGAGGGCATTATCATGCTCTATATCTTGACACATTCTTTCAAACAAAACAAAATTAAATATATAGAATGTATGCCTACAAAGAACTTTGGGTTACTAAATAAGCTATTGTTAACATTTGTTTCTTGAATTTCTTCCGAAAACGTCAAGGCACAAGGCTGAAACTTTCAACATAGCCTCTGGACTATAGTCCTGACGTATGCTGAAAATTCCATACGATTTGAATATACTTGTCTAAAATCAATTTTTGAGAGATGGACTCGTCATCCTAACCTACATTGACATGTTGCATATTCAACAGATGACGACAAATTACAGTTCCTGTTGTGAATCAGAAGAATTTCGGAATATCATTCTTCGATTGTCACTTTTTCAAAAAGTTAAAATCAAGACGAATACACTGTTCACGAATAAACAACTTCTTCACTGAACCATCTAAAACTACGAGTAATAATCATCATGAATTCGAAAATAGTTTTCTATATCACCGATCACAATCGATCTCCACCAAAACCAGATGATGAGCAAAGCTATTGTTCTTATTTTAAAGGAATGAGACTACATGTTCTAAAATTATCTGTTAGTGCCAGTAGGAAGACATTTTCAGAAGGTTAGTTAAAAATAAACTCTACTATCGATTAATGAATATTGTTATACGATCACGAAGATGTTTATGGCCGAAAGTTCATTAAAAAATTACTGGATTCGTCGTACTAACTGTTTCTGCCTGCTGAATGAATGCCATAATCGTCAATGATAAAAAGCCAGTCTGTTTCTATTTTGTTTACATCATCGAATGGTTCGTGAATTGTTATCCGTTGGCCAGTATATTGAGTGACTTCAATGGCTTCAACTGGTCCATACATCTCACATCCACCTGCTGTGACAGTTCTGGGTTCAGCTCGATGTGCTTGACCTGGGGATAAGGTCACAGTATGATGAGGAGGACGGTCGCTATTTTCTTCATTTGGATATTGCGTATAGATTACCTGAACTTCTGCATTCCCGTCTGAATTATTTTGAATCGTACAGCCTCTAACATTACATGGAGCCGCCACACTACTTTTGGACATTATAATTGTATGTAGTTAATTTCGTTTGCTTGCAAAAGGAAGTGACCGATGCAGATAAATGAGTGACTGATAGAAGTATCTGACTATGGAGTGACGCAGGCTACAACAGAAAGAAAAAAAATACTTCGAGCGTGACAGTCTGTTGAAAACAAGTCGGTATTTTATATAAAATATTCTCTTTTCTTTTTTTCTTCCTGCAGTAATGTCAAAAAATCATTTCAATGCGATAAAAACATATTTTGCTTCTACTTGCATTGAAGTGACTATTAACATTGCTATAGACAAAAACAAGAAAAAAAATAGTTTATATGCAATTCTAACTCTTTTTCATTTGTGTTTGAAAATAGTATGTTGAACATAGCAAAAGTGTACACATCTTCCTTTAGAGAGAAAATAGTAAAATCATGAATGAACTCAAATTACTAGCATTATCATTAAGTAAATATACGTGGTTTGTCAATAGTAAAGATACTCACTTTTTTAAACTGACGATAATTGATATTTATGCTTCCTCCGTTCTCTCTTTTTCGAGGTGTCTCGCTCGAAGTATTTCGTTTTTTTCTTTTTGTAGCCTGCATCATTCAATAGCCAGCTACTTCTACCAGTCGCTGATTTATATTCATCGATTTCTTCTTTTTATAAACAAACAAAATTAATCATATACAATTATAATTTCAGAAGATGATGTGGAGGCTCCACGTAATGTAAAAAGCTGTACGATTCGAAATGACTCTGGTGGAAATGTCGAAGTTCATGTAATCTATATGTAATATCCAAAAAAACAAGAGCAACCGCTCTCATCATCATAATGTGACCTTATCTCCAGATCAAATACATCGAACTAAGTCCAGAACTGTCACAACAAGTACATGTCAATGGTATGAATCAATCAACACCATTGAAATCACTCAATATACTGGTCAACAAATGACAATCCATGAACTACCCGATGCTCTTTAAAAAGAAGGTGTTATGCTCAACCTGTTACGGTTCTGGATTTAAGTAACATTTTCTAAATCTTTTAAGGTTCTAGCATAATCTAGTACCAACACAAAAGAACAGTCCATGAAAAAGAAAACTTTCAAAGCTTTTCTAGGAGAGCTTCACTCAAAAAAATAATGTAATTGTTCCCTTCCAAAAGAGAGCAAGCCCCACAATAGCTTGGATCTAATCACTACGATCTTGTTTATAATTGTGATCATTTAAGACTTGTCTTTAATTTAAAAAAAAAGCGACACATTCTTTTCTCTAGAATTTGTTCACTATTATCACTGGAAAAGATTCACCGTCTATTTCCTCATTGACATGAGTTTCAAGAAAGAAGATAATGTGTTAATAGAAACCCAGCTTAATATTGAATTTTTCGTGAAAAAAAATTTAAAAGAAAAAAATAAATTTACTGTAAAAGTTAAAATCATCGTTTGCTTGTTTACAAGATGAATGTAAATCAACAAGAAAAAAGTATCTAAAAGAAAAAAAGTGTACATCTAGATTCAGCGAGTCTTGTTGGTAGGCTGCATGATGAATAAACTCATTTCTCACATCTGCAGTTAGAATGAGCAAATGCGACTTGTTATAAATTATTTTTTGATTGAATCCTTTTATGTAACAGAACATACAGTAAAAAATTTAAAAAAAAGAGGATAATTAAATTACAATACAAGGCTCAACTCTATTAGAATATATTTCAGAGTCAAAGAAAGGAAAAATTAACTCAAAATTTCTGATATAGCTTCGTTTTTCATCAAAGCAATATTCATACTTTCAGAATTGCATACAATTAAATTTTATTTGGATTATAATTATTTTTCATTAAAATTTTCAAACCTTTACTTTAATTGAATAACTGTTCTAAAATGTTATTATCATTAACTAAAAATAAAACTTTGCATCTCCATGATTCTACTAAATGAACTGGTTGTTGTACTGATGGTAGAAAACAGTTCAAAGTTTTTATTTAATGATACCAAGTTCTCGAATACTGTTGTAAAATAACATTTTCAGATTTGATACACAACAAAAGTTCATTTGCAAAGTGCCAAAATCAATATGTAGGACTGTGTCTTGAATTTTTTTCTATTCTGTTTTACTATTGCAAACTTCATATCATCCAAGTCTATTTCTCTTCTTTTATAAACATTTTCTTGAGCATTTTTAACAAACTAGGTTCAATAAGTTCAAGTCTAATGTCCTTGAAAATCCTAAAACTGGATTGGCTCACTTAATCTACTTTTCATCAAAGTTTTTGATAAGGGAGAAACAATTCCTTTTTACAGAAATATGCCAATTACTCTTGGTTCTCCAGATGTGTTAAGAAAAAAGATTCATAAACGAAGAGAAATAGCCTTGAAAAATATGAAGTCTACAATAATGAAACAGAATAGAAGAAATTCAAGACACAGTCCTACATATTGTTTTTTGTACTTTGAAAAAGAACTTATGTTGTGTATTAAACCTTAAAATGCTACTTTATAAGAGTATTTGAGAGGTACTTGTTCACTTTCGACATATGCTCTCACCCGCACTCTTTGATGTGTGAGCGTTAAATACGCGGATTAGTGTATGGAATATGTTTAAAGTGAACAAGCACCAAAAAAAAACATTTGTTTTTTGAATTCGTATTTTAATCTCTTCGAAATCTTACGTTCCATTTGAATCGCATATCTTAACATAAAAATGGCGAAAAATAAAATTGGCTTTAACCATTGTCCCAGGTTGCGTATAATTTGCTTGTCAAAATTCGAGATTTTTTTTAATGCAAGCTGATTGGTTTCTTGTTTCTTTTAAAAGTATTGTTCCATAGTTTATTCGTTTAAATTCCAAAAAATAAAAATTGAAAAACAAAATATATATATCAACCGAAGACATGTGTTTTTTTTCATCCTGTTTTGTGTTACATCACTATTGTGTAAGTATATGCCAAATTTATCTAAAAAAAAAAAGACCATGGTAACACATATTGAACATTTACCAAATGAACTCTGGTTTTCAATATTTTCTTATTTGGAAGCACATGATCTCTTTCGTGCTTTTATTAATTTAAATAATTATTTTGATGAATTAATTTCTTCTCGTCATCTTTTATACAATGTTCAATTTAATAAAAATGATGATCATTCAAGATTTATTTCGATTACATATTGTAGTTCTACTGAAATACTTAATCGTATAATATCATTACAATGGATTGCTAAACCTCGATATGGTTATTTACCTCAATTTTTTAATAAAAATATTTCAGAATTTACTCGATTACGTGCTTTAAGAATTGAAATACATCCTCGACAAACATCTCTTATTTGTAAAATTTTTTCAGAACTCAATTCACTTGAATATCTTTCCGTGAAATCTGTAACTATACATACATTATTAATTGAGACTATATTTACAATACCTTGTCTTCACATATGTGAATTAATAAATTCTCATGTTATGAGAAATATTGAATGTTCCTTCGTTAGACAAAGTAATATCGAAGTCCTTTACTTAACAAATATCTCTATTGATATTCATTCGATCACGGAGACATTTTTCGATCATATGCCAAAATTAAAAAGACTCGAAATGTTTGGATCAACACAGACATTTAAGACTTTGATCTCATGGATAGTTAATCAAATTTTTATTCTTGAAAAAATTCCAATGATTAAACTTAAATGCAAGTCTAATCGAGTTACAATAGTTTTTTTTTGAACAATTACAATCGATAATGTCAATTATAAAATATTTCTCTTTGAATATTTATGTTGATATTGAAGATGAAATTTTATTAGAAAATTTAATTAATAATTGGTGGTCAATTATTGAACAAATAGAAAAAATTAATATTTCAATCATAAAGATATCTTCTGAATTTAGTTTTGTTGTTTTATTTTTTTTTTACAATAAAAATCATACACAATTCATTATCACTTTTTTAAAAGCAAATATACAAGTCATAAATAAAAAAGCATGGGTTCATGAACTAGTAAATTATACTAAAGTTTCATTTAAACTGTTCCTATAAACAGTTAAGGTAAACTGGTTTAGCTTTACGCTAATTAGTGTTAATTAAAACAAAACGAATCCATCTATTTACCAACGAGAAAGTGCTAGCTAATCGTATTTTGAAAGGATATTCCCATGAGTGATTAACTGCAAAAAAAAACTAACGAGGTTCTCAGAAAATTTTTTTCGTCTCTAGATCTTGGTACAGTTCGTTGTGCTACCTGTACTCGTAAAAAAATATTCAAATTCGCTCAATAAATTATAATGCTAGAATCAAAACACTCAAGAACTTCGACGATTCCTGACCGCTACTGAGCGGTAGTTAACATTTTTGAGTATTTTGACCCTAACACCATGATTTATTGAGTAGATTCACGTATTGTTCTTGCCAAAATGATTATCGCAACAAATTCTATTGACGAAAAAAATCTAAGAACCTTATGTTTCTTCCAGTTGACTACCTATTGAAGTATCCATCAAAAATATGATTCATATGCATTTTGTCATTAATAGAAATATACGTTTCTTTAAATTTTCATTGTTCATGTGGTTTCATAATTTAATCATTTTTATTAAATAAATATTAACGAATAATAATATATTATTTAATAAATAAATCTTAAATAATGTTTCAATGTTCATTCAATAAAAATTGATGATGCCAAATATGTTTGTACCGATTAACATTTGTAATAATATTGTTTAATAGTCATCATTCTTTCTTTCAAGTCGTTCTCTCTTCACTGTTCCTCCTTGTTTATTTTTAATCTCAACGATTTAAATAACGTTCTAACTACATAGAATCAATATTCTTTTTCTTGTTTATTCTGTCAATAATTTTTTCATTTTAATATATATGTATATTTAAATATGAAAATCGTAATAAAATGAATGTTTGTTTGGCCCTTGAGAATTCTGCATTTAAGATGAGAGCACCCTTTAGTAAAAATAACTTCTGTCATGTTACTTTCTGACATGCTATGAAAAGAAGTACCAGAAGAAGAAAAAAATCATTTTATTATTGAATAAGTCAACAGATGAAATGAAATTAAAATTCAACTTGAAATAATATTTTCAATACCTTTAAATATACATTCGATTTTTGTTTTCTTTTTCAACAAAACCTATTTTATGTTAAAGAAATGTCGAATATATTAGGTTTTGCGCCTTGAATATTTTGAAAACAAAGTTTCCAACTCTCAAATCGGACAATAACACGCTCATTAACGATCGAATCTTTGTCTATTGTATAAGAAGAAATACGATCGTTTATTGAGTCCATATATGACTTCCATTTTACTCTGTATTTTATCGTAAACGATCGCATTGCTCAGTATACAATATGAAGAAATACGATCGTAATATGAAATCATATAATATGCCAAACTACTACTCTATATGGCGAAATGGAGAGCGTCTATGCATTTGATATACATCGTTCTGGACTATTAAATTATTTGCGTAAGAAATGATATTTCTCATTGAATAGAATTTTTCATTCTGAAAAATGCTTTTGTTATTTATCAAGTCAAAGAACACACATTGAAACGTCTGTTTTTCTCTCTATCGTCACCTTGGAGAACGCATTCAACACTTAATAACTGTTTCAAATTGTGTTTCCGAGAGAACCAATATTTATTTTCTTGTTACAATAACACAACTATCATGATATAGATTTTTCTTTCTACTTCTCGTTTTAATTTTTCTCGAGGCGCGTCTCCAACTTGTTTTGTATTTAATATTTGTTTTCTTCTTTTTTTTTTTTTTAATCGAACGATTTGCTTGTTCATTCCAATAAAATGAGAGACAGTTCTCGTACATTGACAGGAACGTTCGATGGTGGTGGTGGAAATTCAATTGTTGAACAAACAACAGATATAATCAATCGTTTTCGTAATAGTCTTATTCGAAATCGTAAAGAACGTTTATTAGATGAAGATGTTCAAGCAACAGATAATATTGTTAATCAATTACATTTTACTGAATTAATGGCAAAAGAAACATTAGGAAAATTAATTATGCAAGGAGATTCAATGCAACAATCTTATGGTTTAATAAATAAATTACAAAAAGAAATTAAAGATATAGCAGAAGATTTAAATGAAGTTAATGGTGGAAAATGTTTTGGTGCTTGTGCAAATGGAACATTTTTTGGTTTTACATGTTTTGGATGTTTAAAGAAAAAGAAAAAGAAAAAGAAAAAGAAAAAAAATCATCGAAGAAAACCATATGAACATCAATTAATAAAAACAAGTGAACAAAATATTGTTCCATTTAATCAAATTCGTTGGGTAAATGAATTATTTAAAAATGAGTTTAAAAAAAAAACTTATCTAGTTTTATAAAAAAAAAATAGAGTTCAACAACAGAACGTGAAGAAATGATTGGTAGAACACGTGCTTTAGCACGCGAACGACGAGAACATACTGATTTTATTAATATAATTAATCAATTAAAAGACATTAAACGTAAAGAAACAGAAATAAATGATCGAAAATTAAATAAAACACGTGATTATCTTCTACAACATCATTCGTTATCTTATGGTTATATTGATCAACCTGATCGTTTAATGAATGAAATTGATATGGCAATTAATTTTACACAATTAAATACATATTTAGATCATTTATTACAAATGACTGAAATAATGACAAATGAAGTTAATAAACATAATATTGTTATTACTAAAATTGAAGCACAAGCAATGGAAAGTGGAAATCTTCTTACTGATTATACATTACTTGGTCATAATATATTAGGTTCATCACCAACACAACTTCAAACTATAACAAATACAAATACAGATACATCAAATTTTGGTACTTTAGGTTTAAACACTGGACAAAAAGTTCTTCTAAATTCTGTACTTTAGATTATTAAATAAGAAATAATATTGATTTGAATGTATAATACGAATTATTTATTTTTTTCTTTTTGTGTATTTTTTGAACTTGAATTCATTCTCTAAGTTTTAGATATAAAAAAATGACTTCTGAGTTTTATTTTTTCGATCAATATTCACATGCATCACATATTGGTGGTATTTATCGATCTAAACGAGATTCAAAAGAATTAAATCAAGCTTTATATCATGCTAAAATAGCATTATCTATTGCGGATGAGAATTCAGACAAAACAGAAACTGATATATCTACTACACTTAAAAAACAAACAAATCAAACAACTAGTGATACTATTTTACAAACAATGATACGTAAATCAAAAACACCGATTATACCTGAAATTTTAATCGATGAATTAGATAGAAATATACAAATTTTCGATAATAAATCTACTAGAACAACTTCATTATCATCTATTCCATCAAAATCTCGTCAAACTTCAATTATTGCTAGTGAGCAGCATATCAATCATGAAGATGAATTAATTAATTCAACAACAAATTTACCTAAAGTATCTTTACCCAGTTTATTAATTGCTCAATTAAATTCAACATGGTCTGATCTAATTCAAAATACAGAATACGAATACAAAGTAAAATCAGTTCTTTTTCCTTAATTCAATAAGAAAAAACTTCTTTTTTTTTCTATCATATGTATAGATGTGGCATACAAAAGCTGGTAAAGAAGCATGGCATCAATATGTTCAACGAAAACATTCACAACCAATAGTTCGTAAAAAACAACAAAGCATCACTGATAATAAATTGATATTTCGTCCTCAAACAAGTTCACGTGTAAATCCTTTATCATTAACAAATCTCTCTCATCGACAATCCTTGAAAACAAATTCAAAAATACGATGTAATCGATCATTATCACGTGCATCTGTAAGTGCAAGTAATGCATCACAAGATAATCAACGTTCATTTAAAACAACTAATCAGGGAGCTTCAGAAAATGTAATTGAATCAATTAAAAATGGTATACATGTTGAATTTAAATTATCAACACAAATGAATGAAACACATCAATTAGATGAACAAAACAGTAAATAAAAATTCTTTTCTTATTTTTTGTTGTTGTTGTTATTATTTATATATTTTCTCGTTCTATTAGTTGCATTATTCGATGTACCAAAACTTCAGAACAATTTTGATGAAGATATAATTGCTTTAACTCAAAACAGATGTAAACGTTTGTTAGCTGAAACAAAACAAAAAATGTTCGATTTTAAATTTTCTTCTGTTTTCATTATTGATTAAATATATTTCTTTTTCCTTTTTTTGATAAATAGACTTGCAACAACTAATCATCAAGATATAAAACATCAAAAACTATGTCATATTTGGTTTTATGAAGATAATCAACATAATCGAAATAAAAATAAGTTTTTTTCATTAAATGAATACAATCGTTAGTTATTTTTAGTCGTAAGAAAAAAAAAAAAATATTTCAATTTCATTTGTTCTTATAGGACGATCAAAATCCAAATTTGCACTCGCAATTTTACGACATGAAATTCCAGAAAAATACAATATTAATATTGATATACCTGAAACAAAACATAAATCTTATCTCGAATTAGTAGATGGTTCATGTCAGATATAGTAAGTCATACAAAATAGCTCAATTAAAATTAAATATCATTTAATAAACATTCTTGTTAATATAGTTATCCATCTGGTCGTTTAGCTGTCTTATGTATTCGATCATCATATTCTACAACACTTTTTTTCAATGATACAAATTCAATAGGAAATCAATTTCTTGGTCTTGTTACATCAACTGGTAATGTACTATTAATGCAACCAAAATTTCATGCTCATTTCATTACTGATAATCAACATCAATGTTCTTATTTATGTAATGGTAAAACGGGTATTATAGAAAAACAATTTCAATGGCATTTAACAAATAATTCTGAAATACAATCTATTTCAAATGATATTAATCTATCATTAATTGATAATACTATACAATTACAATTAAATTCATTTATGCAACTTGAATATCATAATTCATCGAATATAGATTTTGCATTTACATGTCAAAATGAAAAATTTCATTTTCAATTAGGTATTCATTTACCAATACAATCATTAATACCAAAAAATTTAATAACATCAACAACAACTTCAATAAAAAAAAATTCTCAAGATAAAAAAATTCAAACACCAACAACAAAAAGAACGAATTCAATAAGTTCAAATGATACATTAAATATTTTAGAAAAACAACATCAACAACTTTATTTTCATCAATTACCAATGATTCAAGAATTAATTCTATTAAGAAAACGTATTGAAAATATTTGTCATAGTTGGCTTAAACAATATCGAACAGTCTTAGGTAAAACTTCATAATTATGTTGTAATTATACATTTAACCATTCTATAGTCTTATACAAAATTCAAAATAGATTTTCACTGATAAGAAGAGTGTCTTCTATATAATAACCTACTGATTGATAAATTTTTCTAATTTTATTTTTTTCAAGGTATTATGGATATAGATGCTTATTGTTTACCTGATTTACCAGTAGAATCACGTCCACAACCTAACTCAACACAAAAAAAACAGAAAATTGATAATATTAATCGTAGTAAAAGTGCTCAACAATTCCAACATACTCCAATAATAACAAAACGATCTTTAACTAAGAATAATTTTATTCAATCATCAATTGATAGACAACAATTTTTACAAACACATTCAGAAGAAAAATTGGAATGTATGTTTTTCCATTTTTCTTTTTTTTTGATTGTATTTTCTCATATATATTTAAAAGAAAACTTTCATCTTTCATATCTAGTGAATGTTATAGAAAATGTAATTGAACAATTTGTACCTCATTCAGATGTTGGTCGCATAATCAAACAACGACTTTGTACAAATGATAAAATAATGTCAACTATTTTACCAATTATTAAATAAACAATTTTATAAAGAAAAATTTTCTACCATTATATTTAAGCAACATACATCAAATTAATAGATCGAAAACAAATTATTTTATTTTCGACTTCCGAGAACATTCAAATAGAAATTTTAAAGAAAAAAAAAAAGAAATTACATCTATTATATTATTTTTGTATTTGAATTGTTGTTTTTTCTCTAATTGTATGAATCATGACTTGTTTTTAACAAGATTTTAAAAGACAACAATAAATAACAGTATTCAAGGGTCATAATAAGGGTTCTTTTGGGTGCGGGTGTGTTTCATTTTTTTTTTCCTGAAAATTCAATTATAGTAAACGATATCTAATTGTTCTAACCTGAATAAAGAGATCGAATTGAACTGGAATATAGTAGAACGATGAAAATGATCGATTGATTGATGATGAGATAGATATGGAAAAAAAACGAGAGAACATTAACACATCACTATAGTTTATGTATATGTGACACACACGTGCCATCACACTAAAAACTCAATTATGATATTGAATGAGGAAAGCATAAATCACATGTATATAGAAAAAAAGATGATTTTGTTTATATTCCAATTAGCTGAACGAGCACAAATGCTTTTTTAAACATATTTCGACCTACTGGAAAATGTCAATTTGTTGATATGTAAAATGTGATAAAGATACGTTATAGAAACAATATGTATATTACTCCTCCTTCAACTAATCGAATGGTTAAGGTCGACTGAGAGGGCATTAAAAAACAACAGTATACCAAGGCTGTCGTCTTCTTCAGTATCATAAGAAGGAAAGAAACAGAAAAAAGAAAAGGATGAGCAATTATTTATTTCTTTGATTTATTCTAACAAACAGAATAATCCAATAAGAAAAAAGAGAATAGAACCAATCAAAAAAAAATTACGGTTATGTTTATATTCTTGTTCCTGCTCGTTTTCTTTTTTTTTGCACTATTATTATCTTTATATAGCCTTCGTGATAACACACACGAGAATAATACCATAACGACATACAACAACTAAGACATAAAACATCTGGTAAGTTTCAAATATTCTATACGAATAACAAACGAATGAAATTCAGTTCTGACAAATATATCTTTATATTTTGCAAAAAAACAAAAAAAATAGAACACAGCCCATAATGTTTGAATCGTGTCGATGATAATAGTACATATCTTCTAATACTCAGTTTTGTTTGACAAATGTTTTGTCAAAAAAATTTGAAACTATCGTAGATGCTTGCTTCCGATTTCAAGAATTTGAATACCTATTCATACTTAACTAGACTATCGAATCTTTAATATGTCTATTTTCTAGAAGACCTCAGTTTTTCGAGTTTTGATCGCATATAGAAAACTCAACTAGAAAAACTTCTATAAAAAAAAACCTAAAAGTTTTGAACAAACTCTCTTCAAGATATAGATCCTTTTCTGTAGATCGTGTATATAACATATATTTTGTTTTTATCTCTTGAAAATTCTTTGTTCGAAACTTCTGAATTTTTTAATGGAAGTTAGTCTAGTTGAGTTCACTATATTTGTAAAGTTTCAAACCAAAATTCAAAAAAAGACGAGTTTTCTGAAAAATAGATATATTAAATATTAATAAGAACTCAAATCTTTTTCGAATTTTTATTAGAATACTATGATAAAATAAGTAACTAATTAACAGTAATTTGTCTATTATCATAGAAACAATTCTCTCTCTCTAATAATAAATTTTGAAATAAAAAATATTGACTGATTCATATTGAGCAACATATGTTCGATTAGATAGTTTCATTATGTTTATTATTGTTTTCTTTAATAAGAGGAGAAGAAAAAAAGAAGAAGAAGAAAGTGTTATTCATATAGACTTCTGATCAAATCATCACACAGCATGTGTGAATGTGTATGTGTCTTTTACAGAAATGTAAGCATCTATTGCTCAAAGCAAGAAAACATACTAATCCATTATCTGTCAGAAAGTGATTACGAGAACGAAAGATGACAAGACAATGATAAAGTCGGTATAAGAATAAGAAATGCCTTTGCTTCTGGTTATATATATTCTTATAGATATAAACATTGCAAAGAGAAAAGAAACCAATCAGAAAGATATAAGAATTTCCTTTTTCTTCTTTTTTTATTTTAGTTTTTCTTATTATATTATATTGAATGGGTCGTAAACGTTTATCAAGCAATGATTCAGTTGCAACAACAGCAAGTAATTCTCCTATTAAATCAAATAATACAAATAATGGTGGAATGCAACAAAGAAATGCTGCTAATGCTCGTGAACGTGCTCGAATGCGTGTATTAAGTAAAGCTTTTATTAAATTGAAAACTCATTTACCATGGGTTCGTTTTAGTTTTTATTTATCATTCTTTATTTAATTTAATTTTTTTTCTTTTATGATTAATAAAAGGTTCCACATGATACAAAATTATCAAAACTTGATACACTTCGTTTAGCTACAAGTTATATTATTCATTTAACACAAGTATTAGATAATGATGAACTTCCAATATCAACTATAACAGCACCACCAACTACTACATCACTTTCACTACAAACACCAAATAATTTTGTTCGTGAATAGAAATTAGTTTATTTAGAAATATTTTATTTTTTTTTTTTTGTTAAAATAGAATTGGCCATATTCATCTTGTCATCGATCTTCATCATTATGTGCTATGAATGGTCGATTATCTTCAACATCTAATATAAATAATAATTCTTATTCACATAATGAATATGAATATCAAATTCAATCAGAACTTATTAATCATCAACAAGAAAATATAATTGAAGAAAAACCTCGGTTATGTTAATTAACAAATAAACATCATGAAAATAGATTCATGTGAAAGAAGAAAAACATCGCATCAACTGTGATATTAATTGTATATTTATTTTTTGTGTTTGCTGTGTTGTTTATTAATATCTTTGCCTTTTTTTTTTCTTTTTCATTCGTTTCAAATTAAATATTATATTAATCTAGAAGTTCTTTTTTTTTTTTTTTGTTTTTTATTCATATGCACATTACATATTCTGACAATAATATCTATTATTATTGTATTGAATGTTGAAAATACAATGTTAATATTTATTCTAAGATGAAATTTATTTTCTCGTGAATACTTTCCTTTTATTATAAAGCAACAGCAGATACGGACCCTTGTAAAAGAGAAAAAATATTGAATTTTAATAATATTATTATATGATTAACTCAAACGATGATGAACATTGTCGTTTAAAAAATCTAGACTTTTTCCAAATATTGATTCTCCTTTTCAATAATATTCACCTTATTTAATATGTAAACTTGAAAAATCATCTCATGAATTATAGTTGTTTTCTGTTACTTTATTTTTTTGTCTAGTTTGTTTTTATTTTTCTTTCAAGACATCAACTTACCGAATACTGTCATTGATTATTTCCTAAAATTACAGCTTGATTAACTATATAATACATGTAGCAGGTTAATATATCATTATTCTTGACATTTGTAATATTGCACAAAAATAAAAAAGTCGTACCATTGACAACATTGGCAAATATTTCGAACAAAACTTAAAAATTTTCTAGAACTTTCTAGACCAATTGAAAGCTTGTCATTAGTTACCATTCAAATTCTTTCTTCTTTATTAAGGAACTCAAGAATAAGAGTTTTATTCTTGTTGTTCTCGTTAGCGAAATTGTGCAATGGAAGGAGGAGATCACAAAATGAAGTTTTGCTATTCTAATAAATTCGATTGTTCAGGGCAACACAAAACTAGTGTAGTGATTAACTTGTTTCCTTATACAAAGACGAAAAAAAAAATTTTTTTAATTTTTGAATAGAGAAAACGACGCTCTATTTTTCTGTACTATTTGATTACTAATGAACTAATATTATACAAAAAGTATTACGATAGTTATTGTTTTTCTGGAACATTGAAATAATGTTGAGCATCTAAATTTTGTTTAAAAAAAAAAGTTAATGAGATGTCAAGCTCTGCTCAATTTTTTGTCTGAAGTTTTTTAAAACTTTTTTGACTCCTGCGTATTAGCTTGTTCTTATAAGCAACAATTCTCCTGTGTTTTTCATCTTCACGCAGTCATAACGAGATTTTTACTTATATTCAATAGGAAATTCTTTTCTTACTATCATTTAGATATGATATTGATTTAATTTTTTAGTCATTGTTACTAATCTGTGAAAACTAGTAGTATCTATCTAAAATAAGTGTCATACAAACTTCTTTTCAAGTACATTTTTTTCTTTTGAACAATAAAAGCTTGTCATCATGAAAGACTATTAGGATTGAATGTTATTTAATATGTGCTAAGTGTTTCAATCACAGATTTACTTACTTATTAGGAATATAAATATTATTATTATCAGCTACATTATTGAGAGCGGACATTATGACGCATCAATATCTACATAAAAAAACATATGTTTTTTAAATTTCTATTGAGAAAAAAGCAATTTGATTATGATTTTGTTGATAATTCGATGAAATGTGATAAAACTTTGAGAAGAATCTATAGATTAAATAATTGTTTTATATTTCTAGCCAATATATAAATAGAATTTCTTGTAAATAGTTGTTCTTTAACAAAAAAGGTTATATGCAATAGTATTATAAGTAATTCTTTCTATTATTATTTGACGACGTATAACGAAGAATTGTGCTTAAAATAATATCTTTATATTTAGTTTAGTGCCATTGTATGGTAAAGTATAGACGATGAAAACATAGGTAATAAAACTGATATTCTCGGTTAAATCAATGTCGATAATCAATCTCGATCGTTGTCGACAAGCAAATTGTACTTTGAAAAATGAAATGAGAATCATCTGTTCCTCTGAATCATACTGAATAATAGATGATGATAAATTAGAAGAATAGGTTGCTAACGGCTTATGACGATTGATATATAATTACTGAATAGTGTCACCTGTTATTATTGAGGGATCAAGAATCGTTTGAACCTTTTCTAATTTTAATGATAGATAAGCAAGTTGATCAAATAT